CCTGGAATGATCTTCTCCATTCTGATGTCCTGAGCTGCATAATACTGTTTGAACTCACCGTCAATGTACTCACCAACGTTATCAGACTTCAGATATTTAAGCTTTAAGTCTGTCTTTGTCTCAACCATGGTCTTCCAAATCCTAAACACATTAAATACATCAAATTTACACTTCAATAAATAAGCTCATACATTTCTGTTGTGATCATCAATGAATGTGACGTAGTAATGAGTCTCCAAGAGATGGCACTGGAGAAGGTTCCCACACATCTGTGTACAATATCCAACTTTCTTGTCTTTGGCGTCCTGCCACTTTTTAAGAAACTAACATTCCTCTATTTCTTCAAAATGCAACTCTCACACATGCTGAGATAAACTGACTTCAGTCTAGCTTACCTATGGACTGAAGTTCTTTCATACCCCTCTGACTCATATAGCCAAGCCTGCAATGACACAACTCTGTTGTGCTTCCTGTCACAGTAGTATCAATACTGTTAATTAAACCAATAGTCATATATAACGTACCTGTTTTCTTACTCCGAGCCAGTACCAAAGCTTCTTTATTAACCTTACGGATGCTATCTGAGAACATTGTTGAATGTCCACACTCATCAAGCTGCCTAACAGAAATGAGGCTCTTCTTCAGTTCAGGAATGTGTCGGACCTTTTGCTGAGTTCACTTGTTCTTATTTGGAAGTGCAATATCAATGTCTCTCATTCCTACCACATTCAAAGCTTCTACATATGCCATATATACTTTCCCAATATCACTTACAACATAATTTTACATCAATTCTCGATGGAAAGTTGTATGGAAAGAAGCCCCTGAATCCAGCATTCATTCATCAACAGAACTATGAACTTCTAGCAGTAGTGTATCCTGTGCTTCTTCAGTTGCCACATTTGCGCTATCATTTTCTGTCTTTTTGGGCTTTCTGTTGTTCCTCTTTATGTGGTCAGTTTTGTCACAATTCTAACAAGTTACTTTTTTTATCAAACATTGACTTGCTTTTGCCTCTGTGCTTTGATTTTGATATCCCTCTGTTCGAGTTCATGTCGTGTGATCTCCCTCTGGAGTCAACATTTAATGCTGAACTCGAACCTGAAGTCTCGTAAGAGTCTTTCTTGCGCACCTCTTTAACTAAAATCAAATCACGATTATCATCATATTTTAACTTAGATTTGCCTGCAGAATTACTACAACCATCCTCATGACTTCTCAACTATTTGACGATAAAGCTAACAGGATCAGTGCACATATCTCATCATCAAATTCAATTTTCACAGTCGAAAAATTGATTTGTGATAGTATTAAAATAATTCAGGTGTTGTACACAGATGTACATTCTGTCATCTTTGAATTGAATAACTTTTTCATCAGATATACCTTATTATTCGTCGATGACTTTTCATACATACCTAACAGGGCTGTCATGAGATATGCAATAGTTCTTTTCTATATGGTCAATCGAATAACCCCCAGAAACTGTCGATCCAACAAATTTTATTCAGCTTCATCCATTCTGTCTGATTTTTTCCCAATAACGAAAGATGAAGTTTTTTCCCATAGAGGTTGTTCTCTATCTGCATCATCCAGTAACTAAAATTTGTGTTATATAACTTCTCGATCTCTGAAACATTCACTTCATCTGCAATCATCATTTTTCCTCAGATCCGAACCATGACTCTAATATCAATTGTTGTGGCATATATACAAAATAGAACGATCGACGACGAAGCAAAAAAATAGAACGAGAAAATTTGCAAAACCAGAAAATACAGTGAAACACACAAATTTATGTGATTCGACAAATTGTCTACTTCCACGGAGTTGCAGAGGACTTTACTACTTGAGGATTTACACAGTCAATCACTCTCTCCTCTTCTCTCCTTCCTACACACCGTAAGTCAATAGCAGAAGAAAGAAAATTAAAATAAAAGTCTTTTTATTCTCTCCGCTTCACTTTGTCTTCTTCTCCATAAACCTCACACATCAAGCAAAAAAAAAGGATTTTTTACTCTCTACTCCTATAGCAGTCGATCTCAAAAGATAGGTATGGAGGAGGCTCCTATTCGAGAATTAAAGGAGCGGGGGGCGGCAACGTTTCACGAATTGTAGGCGGGAGGCTAAGCGAAGCATTGTGTCGCAGGCAAAGGAGGTGGGAGCAGCGGGAACAAGTACTTTCTCTTTTTTTTTAACCAGGCTCCATACTCAACAATAACAAGGACTCCTACTATATAGATTCATTAACCGAAGATAGACTATCTGTTAGATTACGGTAATGTGCTCTTTGCCTGATGGAATAATCCTCCCAGAGGACAATAAATCTTCACAATGGATTCCTCGGAAAAAGGTGACCGAATATAGTTCAGTTGGCCAAATGACTTTTTTGCCAATTGAACGAATAAGTCATGACCGAGCCAAGTAGTTACAATTACGAAATGGTGCCTAGGGCAGTTACAGATATGAAAAGACGTCAATAGCGGTTGCAAGGTCAAAATATGCCTAATTCGGTTACAAATATCTAAAAATATAACGACTCATAAATAATCGTAACTTTCTCATTAAATGAGGGATAATCATGTAATTTACCGGACTTCTTCCTATGACTTATAAACAGGAGGGTCATTCTTATAGAAAAGACCACTAGCTCTATTCTCAGAGAATTTCTTCTATTTGTGCTTGTTTACTCTTTCTTTTCTTATTCTTCTCATCCAACTAACGTTCTATTCCTTGGGTGTGACCCGAAGGATATTTTGGAATTCAACAATTATTATTCTATATAAATTGAGCCTAAACTTTCAAGGTTTTTCATCAGTATGGCTTCTCTTAAAAGAAAATTATATTGTTAATTCATTTTGTCTTACCAAATGTATCTAATGGTTTTTTAGTTAGGTGAATGGTTTCTTAGTCTAGCCTTTCAGACTTTAGCAAAATGAAATTAATGAGAAACTATAAAGGTATGCATCTATCGTCTTGTGATGATGCTGGGGAAAGCTTTTTTTTGCTCATAGCAATGCATAAAAGAAGCAGTATATTTAAGTTAATTAGAATTTTTTTATTAGTATTACCGTTGATAATATTAAATCTGAGAAGAATAATTAACATTCTTCACAAGCATCAGCAACTAAACTATCTGAACTATTGGAAATGATTTACTTCAGAACATTTTTAGCATTTTTCAGAGTTCATGGCTAATATTAGAATGTGTGAGTTACAAGTGTCATAAATCTCAAAATTTTATTCAAGTAAATTGTTACATTCTCCAATATGGAAATTGAAAGAAGTATACAAAGCAGCTCCACAGCACAGCGTTTTAGTTAAAGTGCATGTCTTTGAGGAAAATTTGCATAACAACTTTCTGAATTATACACATTTTTTTTTATTTGAATTTACTCGAGCTGCATTAATTCTATTAATTGTTTTTAATCCTATCCTCCACACTTCATAAAGAAATCAAGATAATTACACACCTTTAGATTTGAAAATAGATTTCACCCATTTGGTTGGTTAGGGAGAAATTAAATGGAAAGCACTTTCTTTCTTTTGGTTTATTGGAAGGAATAACCAATAAATTGAAGAAGGAACACAACATCAAGTTATTAACTCTTCAGTTTTACTTTTGTGATTCACTGGGTCTATGTAGAGATCATAAAGGGAAAACGCATATGTTCTAATCTTCTAAGTAAATTCAATTTCTTATGAACTACACCAAAACTAAGCAATCAAGATGTAATTTTGAGGTGAATAATATTTCCTTAATACTCAATTCTTTCAAACCAAACTCATGCCATAAATCTGTGTTGAGAAATTTAGGGCAAAAAAACACAAGAATCAACACAAATCCAGAAGAACACACAGAGATTTAACGAGGTTCGGCAAATAAGTCTACGTCCTCGGGGGTATAGCAGAGACTTTCTTCAATTCAAAAAAAAGAGTACAAGATACAGCATTAGGGTTACAATACACATATATATATAGCCCTAGTGCACAATATGTAATTACAAAATTACCCCTGTACCGTACCGCAGGGGTGTTTCCCCCCCCACCCCCAACCCACATAATGTAAGTCCCCTGATTGGACAAATGCTTCCGTTCCACTCCGCTTGCGAGCTCCGCTACGCTCGCGAGGCTTCGCTCGCTGGCTCCGCTTCACTGGCTCGCTCCGTTCCGCTCCAACATATGTCTGTCCCTTATATGATATATGAGCCGTACACAACAATCTGCTGTAGATTACCTTTTCTTTATAAATAGTAAATGCCTTGGAGCTTCAGGGTTCTTTCACCACATGTAATTGTGTGCATTTCCTTGTTTTATATTTATCATGATAGGTAAAATGAATTTCATTAACTGACACCACAATTTGTTCAAATTTATGCAGCCTGCGGAGGAGAAAAATGTTGGTGATGCTAGTAAATGTGTTGATGGTGAAGAGATTATTTTTCAGCCCAAGGAAGCTGCAGGAAAAGAGGAGGAAGATGAGAGCAAAGATGATGGCTTGACAGGGATGGAATCTACGGCTAGCATCTCAGAACAAGCGCTTGAACCTGCTGATGCTTCTGTTACCGATGTAACAAAGAAGGATGAACAGCATGAAAAGGTTGGAGTGGTAGGGAATTCTCTCGAGGAATCTGAGGTTTCTAATTCTTCAGAACCAACTGTTGATACAACTGAAAGAAACTTGCAAAGCCAAGCTGATGGTGCTCTTGAAGCGCCAAGTGAAGTACAAGAAAAATCTAGTGATTTTGTTGAGGTATCGACATGCCAAGAACCAAGAATTTCAGAATCTAAAACAGGAGATTTGAAATATACTGAAATCGAGCCAAAATTTGAGAATGAAAAAAAATCAGTTGAAGCACCTTTATTTTCTACTGGTTTGGATACATCTGAAGATGGAAATGTTAAGGCTGAGATGCCGGAAGCACCTAATCCAGAGTCCTCAAAGGACAATGTAGAAATCAAAATGATCGAGTCAGAAGATTTAAAAAATAAAATCCTGCTGAAATTCCCACTGTAGTTGCTCCTGTTGTTTCCGATGTGCCACAAAAAGATGATATTGATTTTGGTAATCCTACCAGCATAGAAGTACCTGTAAAAGATCTAGAAGTTGAATCTGGCTCTCCTGAAGAACAAAAATCAAAAGAGGGTACAGAAACTCTAGAGCTAAATTCAAATTTGAGTACAATTGATGTTGAAGATGAAGTTATTGGATCCTCTTCCTATGAAGTGAAGCCTTCAGACTCTGCAAAAGTGGATGAGAAAAAGGATGATGGCTCGGAAGAGGAGAGAATACAGATTTCAGCAAAAATTCAAAAGGATCTTGAAGCTCAAAATGAAGCAGCTCAAACTGAATTTAATGAAAATATTTCCCAAGGAGTTGGAGTTAAGAATGATGATGAAATTGTTGAAGGCGGAATGGAGACATCCACTGTCCCTGATGATATTCCTTCACCTGCTAAAGTTTCTTCTGAATTGGAAAGAGTTTCTAAGCCTGGTGTAGTGGTTGAGGAAGAAGATACTTCTTTGGAACGTGATAGCATTGATACTGCGCCGAATGTGGCTGAAGTTTCATGGGAAGGTGAAAATGTTTTTCAAGATAAATTGATTGGCAAGGATAAAGTTGTAAATGCTGAGGCTGTAGAGAGGGATTTGGTTGATAGAATTACAGATCCTACAGAAGCAGAAGTTTCTTCTGATCAAGTAAAATCTCCTGCAACCACAGAGATTGTAAATGAAGCTCTGGAAGTGACATCCAAGGAACTCAACAATGCTCCTGAAGCTAGTGAAGTATTTTTCGAGGGTGATAAAATTCCTGCAGTTGATGAGAAGAGTGAAAGCTTGGAAGGTGAAGCTGCAACTTCTGTGCAGGCGCCAGCAGATGCCACAGCAGCAGAAGAACCACTTGATCAAGTGGTTGAGGAGAAGAATGAGAAGAGTGAAAGCTTGAAAGGTGAAGCTGCAACTTCAGTGGAGGCACCAACAGATGTCACAGCTGCAGAAGAGCCACTTGATCAAGTGATTGAAGAGAAGAATGAGAAGAGTGAAAGCTTGGAAGGCAAAGCTGCAACTTCAGTGGAGGCACCAACAGATGCCACAGCTGCAGAAGAACCACTTGATCCAGTGATTGAGGAGAAGAATGAAAAGAGTGAAGGCTTGAAAGGCGAAGATGCAACTTCAGTGGAGGCGCCTACAGATGCCACCGCTGCAGAAGAACCACTTGAGGAGAAGGATGAGAAGAGTGAAAGCTTGTATGGTGAACCTGAAACTTTAGCGGAGGCATCAACAGATACCGCCGCTGCAGAAGAACAACTTGATGAAGTGGTTGATGAGAAGGATGAGAGGAGAAAAAGCTTGAATGGCGAAGCTGCAACATCAGCAGAGGCACCGACAGATACCACCGCTGCTGAAGAACCACTTGATCAAGTGGTTGAGGAGAAGAATGAGAAGAGTGAAAGCTTGAAAGGCGAAGCGGCAACTTCTGCAGAGGTACCAAGAGATACCACCACTGCAGAAGAACCACTTGATCAAGTAGTTGAGGAGAAGAAAGAGAAGAGTGAAAGCTTGAAAGGTGAAGCTGCAACTTCAGCGGAGGCACCAATAGATACTACTGCTGAAAAAGAACCACTTGATCAGGTGGTTGAGGAGAAGAAAGAGAAGAGTGAAAGCTTGGAAGTCGAAGCTGCAACTTCAGCGGAGACCCCAATAGATACCACTGCTGCAGAAGAACCACTTGATCAAGTCGTCGAGGAGAAGAACGAGAAGAGTGAAAGCTTGAAAACTTCGTTGGAGGAACCAACAGATATCACCACTGCAGAAGAACCGCTTGATCAACTGATTGAGGAGAAGAATGATAAGAGTGAAAGCTTGAAAGGCGAAGCTGCAACTTCAGTGGTAGCACCAAGAGATACCACTGCTGCAGATGAACCACTTGAGCAAGTGTTTGAGGAGAACAACGAGAAGAGTGAAAGCTTGAAAGGCGAAGCTGCGACTTCAGCGGAGGCACCAATAGATCCCACTGCTGCAGAAGAACCACTTGATCAAGTGGTTGAGGAGAAGAATGAGAAGAGTGAAAGCTTGGAAGGCGAAGCTGCAACTTCAGTGGAGACACCAACTGATACCTCTGCTGCAGAAGAACCACTTGATCAAGTCGTCGAGGAGAAGAATGAGAAGAGTGAAAGCTTGAAAACTTCATCGGAGGAACCTACAGGTATCACCACTGCAGAAGAACCACTTGATCAACTGATTGAGGAGAAGGATGACAAGAGTGAAAGCTTGAAAGGTGAAGCTGCAACATCAGCGGAGGCATTGACAGATACCACCGCTGCAGAAGAACTTCTTGATCAAGTGTTTAAGGAGAAGAATGAGAAGAGTGAAAGCTTGAAAGGTGAAGCTGCAACTTCTGCAGAGATACCAAGAGATACCGCCGCTGCAGAAGAACCACTTGATCAAGTAGTTGAGGAGAAGAAAGAGAAGAGTGAAAGCTTGAAAGGCATAGGTGCGACTTCAGTGGAGGCACCAATAGATACCACTGTCGCAGACGAACCACTTGATCAAGTGGTTGAGGAGAAGAAAGAGAAGACTGAAAGCTTGGAAGGCGAAGCTGCAACTTCAGCGGAGACTCCAACAGATACCACTGCTGCAGAAGAGCCACTTGATCAAGTCGTTGAGGAGAAGAATGAGAAGAGTGAAAGCTTGAAAACTTCATTGGAAGCACCAACAGATACCACCACTGCAGAAGAACCACTTGATCAACTGATTGAGGAGAAGAATGATAAGAATGAAAGCTTGAAAGGCGAAGCTGCAACTTCAGTGGTGGCACCAAGAGATACCACTGCTGCAGAAGAACCACTTGAGCAAGTGTTTGAGGAGAAGAACGAGAAGTGTGAAAGCTTGAAAGGCGAAGCTGCAACTTCAGTGGAGGCATCAACAGATACCACCGCTGCACCACTTGATCAAGTGGTTGAGGAGGAGAATGAGAATTCAGTAAGTGACACACAAGTTTCTTCGGAGGATAGATTGGTTGTTAAGGAGAAATATTTGAACGATGAGACCAAAGAAATAAACTTGGAAAGCCAAGCTGATGGTGCTCGTGAAAGCCCAAGTGTTGTGCAAAGTGATTTTACTGAGAAATCCGCATCCCAAGAACCTGCCTTTTCAGAATCCAAAACAGAAGATTTAAAAGATGTTGAAACCAAGCTAGCGTCTGAGAATGACAGCAATCCAGTGGAACCACCTTTGGTTTCTACTGATCTTTCCAGTATAAAGGTACCTGTGAAAGATCTAGAAGTTGAATCTGGCTTTCCTGAAGAACATAAATCAAGTGGGAGTGCAGAAACTAAAGAGCCAAGTTCAAATGTTAGTGGCACTAATGCTGGAGGTGAAGTTGTTGGCCCATCTTCTGATGATGTGAAGCCTTCAGGAGTTGCGGAAGTGGAGACAATGCAGACTCCAGTTGAAATTCATGAAGGTCTTGAAGTGAACCCTGATTTTGCTCAAACTCGATCTGATGAAATTTTTTCTGAAGGGGTTAATGTCAAGAAGGATGATAAAATTGTTGAAGGCGGCATCGACATATCCGCTGTTCCTGATGACATTTCTCCGCTTGCTAAAGTTTCATATGAAGAGGAAAACACTTCTGAGCCTGGTGGTGATAACTTTGATACCGTGCTTAGAGTAGCTGATGTTGCATTTAAAGAAGGAAACATTTTGGAAGGGGATGAATTAGTTGATAAGGAAAAGGCGAATGCTGAGGCTGTAGAGAGAGATTTGGTTGAGACAATCACAGACCCTGCAGAAGCTGAAGTCTCTTCTGTTCAAGTAAAAGCTCCTGAAACTATTGAGATTGCAAATGATGCTCATGAAGTGTCATCCAAGGAATTCAATATTACTTCTGAAGCGAGTGAAGTCCCTTATGACAGTGATAAAATTTCTGCAGGCGATGAGAAGAGTGAAAGCTTGGAAGGCGAAGTTGCAACTTCAGTGGAGGCACCAAAAGATATCACTACCGCAGAGGAGCCACTTGATCAAGTGGTTCAGGAGAAGAAGAGAGAGAGTTCAATAAATGAGACGCAAGTTCCTTCTGAGGATAAATTGGTCGACAGGGAAAACGATGTGAAAGAAGAGGCCAAGGAAATAAACTTGCAAAGCCAAGCTGATGGCGCTGATAAAACCCCAAGTGTTGTGCAAAGTGATTCATCCGAGACATTCACATCCCAAGAACCTGTGTTTTCAGAATACAAAAAAGAAGATTTGAAAGATACTAAAGTTAAGCCAACATCTGATGATGAAGGAAAACAAGATGTGGCACTCTTGGCTTCAACTGGTGTGGATATTTCTGAAGATGGAGATATTGTGGCTGAGACGCAGGAAGTGGATAACCCAGATTCCTCAAAAGACAAAGTCAATATCAAATTGAACAAGTCAGAAGATTCAAAAGATGAAATTCAGGTGCTAGTTCCCGACGAAAGTCATGCTGTAGTTCTTCCTGATGCTTCTGAAACAATACAACAAAATGTTGATCCTAGTACTCTTACCAGTGAAGAGGCGCTTGTGGAAGATCCAGAGGTTGAATTTGGCTCTCTTGAAGAACAGAAATCGAAAGAGAGTACAGAAACTGAAGAGCCAATTTCAGATGCGAGTACAATTGATGCTGGAGGTGAAGTTGTTGGATTCTCATCCTATGAAATCAGGCCTTCAGGAGTTGCAGAAGTGGTCGAGAAAAAGGATGATGGCTCGGAAGTGGAGACAATACAGACTTCAGCCAGAATTTATGAGGATTTAGAAGCTAAACCTGATTTAGCTCAACTGCAATCTGATGAAAATGTTTCCCAACTAGTTGAGGTCAAGAAGGATGATGAGATTGTTGAAGGCAGCATAGAGACATCCACCGTTCCTGATGATGTTCCTCTATTTGCTAATGTTTCATCTGAAGAGGTAAAAGCTTCTGAGCCTGGTGCTGTGGTTGAGGAGGAGGAAAAGACTTCTTTGAAAGGCGATAACATTGATATTGTGCCAAAAGTGGCTGAAGTTTCATTGGAAGGCGGCAATTTTTGTGAAGGGGATAAATTGGTTGACCAGGACAAAGTGGTGAATGCTAAGGCTGTTGAAGAGAGAGATTTGATTAATAATTTTACAGATCCTACAAAAGCAGAAGTCTCTTCTGAGCAAGTAATAGCTCCTACAACTACTGAGATTGTAAATGAAGCTCTAGAAGTGACGTCTCAGGAACTCAATATTGTTCCTGAAGCTAGTGAAGTCTCTACTGAGGTTGGTAAAGTTTCTGTGGGTGATGAGGAGAAGAGTGAAAACTTGATACTTGGAGAATCAACATCAGCGGAGGCACCAAAAGATATAACTGCAGTAAAAGAATTGCTTGATCCAATGTTTGAGGAGAAGATTGAGATTCCAGTAAGTGATTTGGCAGCTTCGACCGAGGTTAAATTGGTTGACCAGGAGAAAAATGTTATTGTAAAAGATGACGAGGGAGACTTCATTAATACATCCACAGATGCTATTGCAGCTGAAGCTTCTTCTGAGCAAATAAAATCCCCAGAGATTGTTGAGGAGGAGAGCGATAAGCAAGCTCTAGAAGAGACATCAAAGGAACTCAGTATTGCTCCTGACGCTAGTGAGGTCCCTTCTGAGGATGATAAAATTTCTTCCGGTGAGGAGAAATCTGAAAGCATGACTGTTGATGCTACAACTTCTGTGGAGGCACCAAAAGACATCACCTCAGTGGAAGAGTCACTTGATCAAGTGATTGATAAGAAGAATGAGATTTCAATAACTGAAAAGAAAGCTCTGCCAGAGGATATGTTGGTTGAAAAGAAGAGAAATCTGAATGAAGAGGCTGTAGAGAAAGATTTGGTTGATACATCCGCAGATACTACTGCAGCTGACGTCTATTCTGATCAAGTAAAAGCCTCTGAAACCGCTGAGATTATAAAGGAGGACAGCAATACACAAGCTTCGGAAGTGACATCAAAGGAACTCAATATCGCTTCTGAAGCTAGTGATGTCCATTCTGATGGTGATGAAGTTTTTGCAAGTGATGAAGAGAAGAGGGAAAGCTTGAAAGGTGAAGATTCAACATTAGTGGAGGCCCCAGAAGATATCAAAATTGTAGAAGAGTCGCCTGATCAAGTGATCAAGCAGAAGAGCGAGAGTTCAAAAAGTGAGATGGAAGCTCCGGACAAGGATAAGTTGGTTGACAGGGAGAAAGATGTGAATTCGGAGGCTGAAATTGCAAACTTAATGGATACATCCACAGATGAGGTGGTGGCTCCGACTGAGGATAAATTTGTTGACAGAGAGAAGAATTTGTATGTAGAGGATGAACAGAGAGACTTAATTGATACATCCAGTGATGCTATTGCAGCTGAAGTTTCTTCTGAACAAGTAAAAGCCCCTGAGATTGCTGAGGAAAAGACCAATAAACAAGCTCTAGAAGAGACATCCAAAGAACTCAATATTGCTCCTGAAGATAGTAAAGTCCCTGCCGAGGATGATAAACTTTCTGCAGGTGAGGAGAAGAGTGAAATCTTAAGAGTTGAAACTGAAACTTCAGTAGAGACGCCAAAAGACATCACCACCGTCAAAGAGTTACTTGGTCAAGTGATTGAGAAGAAGAAGAGTGAGAGTTCAGCGAGTGAGAACAAAGCTCCACCTGAAGATAAGTTGGTTGACAAGGAGAAAGATGTGAATGCAGAGGCCGAAGAGAGAGAATTGGTTGATACATCCACAGATCCTTCAGCAGCTGAAGTCGCTTCTGATCAACTAAATGCCTCAGAAACTGCTGAGAATATTAAGGAGGATAGCAATAAGCAAGCTTTTGAAGTGGCATCCAAGGAACTCGATATCACTTCTGAAGCCATTGATATCCCTTCTAAGTGTGATGAAGTTTTCGCTGGTGATGAAGAGAAGAGCAAAAGCTTGAAAGGTGAAAATGCAATAGTGGAGGCATCAAAAGATATCACAATTGCAGAAGAGTTGCCTAATCAAGTGATCAAGCAGACGAGCGAAAGTTCAAAAAGTGTGTTGGTTGGCAAGGAGAAAGATGTGAATGCAGATGCTGAGAAGACCAACTTACATGATACGTCCACAGATCCTACTGCAGCTGAAACTGCTGAAATTACAAAGGAGCAGAGCAATAAGCAATCTTCAGAAGTGACATCCATTCCTGAAGCCTGTGAAGTTTCTTCTGAGGGTGATAAAGTTTCTTCAGGTGAAGAGGAGAAGATTGAAAGGTTCAAAGGTGAAGATGCAGCTTCATTGAAGGTACCAGAAGATAACATTACTCTAGAAAAGTCAATTAATCAAGTGATTGAGGAGAACAACAGTGAGAGTTCAAAAAATGAGTCAGAAGCTCCAATTGAGACAACCAGAGATTTAGATACTTCTATGCTATTTCCTGAGGCGGCGAAAGATATTATAGCATCAGAAGAAGTTAAGGAGAAGCAAGATGAGGCCTCCAATGATCTCGATGTGGTGGGAAACAAAGCTAGCGATTCTGAGAATAGAAAGGAGGAAGTGTTACAGAATACTACTGACAAACCTGAGGAAGAAAAGTTGGGAGCTGAAAAGGCAGAGATTGAGAAATCAAAGGATCAAGGTTCAATTGTTTCTTCTGATTCTGCGGATGCAAAACCGACCAAAGAGGTGAGTAAGCGAGAATCAAACATATTCTCCAAGGTAAAGCGCTCAATTGTGAAAGCGAAGAAAGCAATCCTTGGGAAGCCATCAATTCCCAAGTCTTCATCAGAAGCAAAAAATTAGAACACCTAAATTACTTATAGATCCTTTAAACTCGTATGAATTTCATGTCCCCATCCGTTGTGTCATATATGCTGTAAAAATCTTTGGTATTCTCTTCTTTTGTAGGTGTGAAATTATTTAGGTTTGTGCATTGTTATTGTTGCTTCTGTTCAGTTGATGGTATTTCCACATTGATTGTTTAATGTTATGGCTCAACTCAGACATTCTTTTGTTGATTATGTATGTATTAATTTTCTGAAGTATGATCAGAATTTGCTTCATGTTTTAAGATCTGTTTGATGATGTTGCACATTGACAATTTAGCTTCTTAAAATTTGAATACATATTGAAATTTAATATACCAAAAAAATTACTATCTAACTAGAAACCTGCTTTGTCATCAAAATACATAAAATACTACACCCAATGCATCAATGTTTGCAACATCAATGTAAATAAGGATAATAATAAAAATTCTTTTTATTTATTTATTTTTTTCCTTAAAAGACTTTTGATTGGTTACTATGTATATGAATGTCAAGATATGAATTTACATATTGATGTAGATGATAAGAATGATAAGAAGGTGGTGGAACGAGATGATATTTAATGAAATTATGCATCTGTATAAACTGTATTATTCAAGACCAGTATCCTTGGAATTTAATTGTATTATTCAAAACATTGCTATTCACAAACAAATTATCCCAATGTAATTATATCTCTTTGATGTTCGTTTAGTATCCATCTATTGTTGTTTCAGGCACGTTGGGCAGGCAGATTAATTTTTATTTTACTTTTAAAATTGGGGGACTGAAATCTTTGATTCCAACGATGACATCTCCAGGAGCAACTAATCCATGTAGAATTCTTAGAATCTTTTTCACTAACTTCGGGAGCTCCTAACATCATATTGAGTGCTCTGAAATTCTCTTCTGCAACATGCAGGGGTTCTTGGGTGTGACTAGGATATATTTCTATCGTATAGCAACTTTATTAAGCAATATAAAGCTTTCATTTTGGGTTTTATAGTTGTCTCCAGAGTTGGAGCTACTGTGGGGCTTGTTGTGAAAAATGAATGCGATAAAGTGAAAAATGAATGTGATAAAGTGAAAAATTGACCGATCAAATTCGCAAACCAGAAAATAGAGAAACAGACAAATATAGATTTATGTGGTTCGACAAATTGATTACGTACACAGAGTTGCAAAGGATTTTATTAGCTTGAGACGTACAAGAAAGAACTCTCTTTCTCTCTCTCTCTCTCTCTCTCTCTCTCTACACTAGAGCCACAGGCGGAAGAAGAAATCAAGGAGAAAAGCTCCTGCGATGCTTTCCTTCCTTCTTCGTCCGTGAGCCAAAAGAAACATGAGAAAACTTGCGATTCTTTGGAGCAGTAAAACCAACGCGAGGAGAGAGAGGCATGCCATAACTGCTTTTAATTCCTTCAATTCTTCGGCCCATTAAAGAAAGTCCAGAGAGGCGGGAGAGTTTGGGTTGGCGGGATCTTAATTTGCCAATCTGAGGAAGGCACGTGAGAAGCTATAAAGGAAAGCCATTAACAGAGCAATTAATTCAACTATCAAATTAAATTGGCTCCCAAAAATGCCAAATTTGCCAATTTAAATAATTGATTGGACTTCACCAATCTCAACAATTCTCCAACTTGAAAACTGCTACACTGATTGTATCATTCACTGACTGAATCACCATTTTCCGCAAATGTGTTCTCCAACTTGAAAACTGCTACACTGGTTGTATCATCCACTGACTGAATCACCATTTTCCTCAAAAGTGATATTCTCCGCCTCGGCAGGGGTCTTCAAGCTAGGAGACCAATTGAAATTGCGCACAACTTAAATTTCTCAAGAAAATTTGCCAATTCAAAAAGTGGATCGGACTTCACCAATCTCAACAATTCCCCAATTTGAAAACTGTTGCACTGGTTGTATCATCCACTGACTGAATCACCATTTTCCACAAACGTGATATTCTCCACCTCGGCAGGGGTCTTCAAGCTAGAATACCAATTGAAATTGCGCACAACTTCAATTTCTCAAGAAAATTTGCCAATTTAAATAGTGGATCGGACTTCACCTTCAATATCTCAAGAAAATTTGTCAATTTAAATAGTGGATCGGACTTCACCAATCTCAACAATTCTCCAACTTGAAAACTGCTACACTGGTTGTATCATCCACTGACTGAATCACCATTTTCCTCAAATGTGATATTCTCCGTCTCGGCATAGGTCATCAAGCTAGAAGACCAATTGAAATTGCGCATAACTTCAATTTCTCAAGAAAATTTGCCAATTTAAAAAGTGGATCGGACTTTACCAAACTCAACAATTCTCCAACTTGAAAACTGCTATACTGGTTGTATCATCCACTGACTGAATCACCATTTTCCTCAAACGTGATATTCTCTGCATCGGCAGGGGTCTTCAAGCTAGAAGACCAATTGAAATTACGCACAACTTCAATTTCTCAAGAAAATTTGTCAATTTAAATTGAAATTGCGCACAACTTCAATTTCTCAAGAAAATTTGCCAATTTAAATAGTGGATCGGACTTCACCAATCTCAACAATTCTCCAACTTGAGAACTACTACACTGGTTGTATCATCCACAGACTGAATCACCCTTTTCCTCAAACGTGATATTCTCCGCCTCGGCAAGCTAGAAGACCAATTGAAATTGCGCACAACTTCAATTTCTCAAAAAAATTTGCCGATTTAAATAGTGGATCGGACTTCACCAATCTCAACAATTCTCCAACTTGAAAACTGCTACACTGGTTGTATCATCCACTGACTGAATCACCATTTTCCTCAAACGTGATATTCTCTGCATCGGCAGGGGTCTTCAAGCTAGAAGACCAATTGAAATTACGCACAACTTCAATTTCTCAAGAAAATTTGTCAATTTAAATAGTGGATCGGACTTCACCAATCTCAATAATTCTCCAACTTGAAAACTGCTACACTGGTTGTATCAGCCACTGATTGAACCACCCTTTTCCTCAAACGTGATATTCTCCGCCTCGGCAGGGGTCTTCAAGCTAGAAGACCAATTGAAATTGCGCACAACTTCAATTTTTCAAGAAGATTTGCCAATTTAAATAGTGGATCTGACTTCACCAATCTCAACAATTCTCCAACTTGAAAACTGCTACACTGGTTGTATCATCCACTGACTGAATCACCCTTTTCCTCAAACGTGATATTCTCCGCCTCGGCAGGGGTCTTCAAGCTAGAAGACCAATTGAAATTGCGCACAACTTCAATTTTCCAAGAAAATTTGCCAATTTAAATAGTGGATCGGACATCACCAATCTCAACAATTCTCAAACTTGAAAACTGCTACACTGGTTGTATCATTCACTGACCGAATCACCCTTTTTCTCAAACGTGATATTCTCCGCCTCGGCAGGGGTCTTCAAGCTAAAAGACCAATTGAAATTGCGCACAACTTCAATTTCTCAAGAAAATTTGCCAATTTAAATAGTGGATCAGACTTCACCAATCTCAACAATTCTCCAACTTGAAAACTGCAACACTGGTTGTATCATCCACTGACTGAATCACCATTTTCCTCAAACGTGATATTCTCCGCCTCGGCAAGGGTTTTCAAGCTAGAAGACCAATTCAAATTGCGCAAAACTTCAATTTCTCAAGAAAATTTGCCAATTTAAATAGTGGATCGGATTTCACCAATCTCAACAATTCTCCAACTTGAGAACTGCTACACTGGTTGTATCATCCACTGACTGAATCACCCTTTTCCTCAAACGTGATATTCTCCGCCTCGGCAGGGGTCTTCAAGCTAGAAGACCAATTGAAATTGCGCACAACTTCAATTTCTCAAGAATATTTGCCAATTTAAATAGTGGATCGGACTTCACCAATCTAACAATTCTCCAACTTGAAAACTGCTGCACTGGTTGTATCATTCACTGACTCAATCACCCTTTTCCTCAAACGTGATATTCTCCGCCTCGGCATGGGTCTTAAGTTAGAAGACAAATTGAAATTGCGCACAACTTCAATTTCTCAAGAAAATTTGCCAATTTAAATAGTGGATCGGACTTCACCAATCTGCACAACTTCAACAATTCTCCAACTTGAAAACTGCTATACTGGTTGTATCATCCACTGACTGAATCACCATTTTCCTCAAACGTGATATTCTCCGCCTCGGCAGGGGTCTTCAAGCTAGAAGACCAATTGAAATTGTGCACAACTTCAATTTCTCAAGAAAATTTGCCAATTTAAATAGTGGATCGGACTTCACCAATCTCAACAATTCTCCAACTTGAAAACTACTGCATTGGTTGTGTTATCCACTGACTGAATCACCATTTTCCTCAAACATGATATTCTCCGCATTGGCAGGGGTCTTCAAGCTAGAAGGCCAATTGAAATTGCGCACAACTTCAATTTCTCAAAAAAATTTGCCGTTTTAAATAGTGGATCGGACTTCACCAATCTCAACAA